AATGGCCACAAAAATCCCTTGACGGTTCAGCGGTTCGGCACTCATCGTCATGGGCACGTGTAATGGGGTGACCCCCTTGGGTGGGTTTTCCATTTTTTGTGGGTGGATGGAGCTGGGTGGAAGTTAAACTCACGGACACTTTACAAATGCAGGGATTTGAGCCCGTTCTCATCCCAAGGCGTCATAAAATGACATTTCGTCTAAATCCAACGCACATGGCACCCTTTAGCGTCAATATGAGACGCAGATATATATGGGCCAGAAGGCGCCTCCTAGTGGTCTAACCCTAACCCTAACCCTACCCCAGACCTAAACCTACCCATAACTATATTGACGCTAAAGGGTGCCATGTGCGTTGGATTTAGACGAAATGTCAAAAGTGTCAGTTTATGACGCCTTGGGATGAGAATGCGTTGGGGATTTCCCTTCACTTCCGTTTTCCTCCGGCATGCAATGCAAGCTGCATTTTATAGTGTTGCAAGAGTCATCTGGCATATGTTTGAAAGCTCATATGAATTTATGTGGATCTGTATAAGGCTGAAATTCCCTTCTAACTCTAATATGGGCCTGAGGGGGTTCAACTGTATCAACACATTTCAGGGTAGGTTACTGCATTGATTTATGTTGCCGCATTATTAATTCTTTATTAGTGGCGTTTATCAATGGTGGCTCGTTTATTTAGAGTGATCCAGGCAGAATTGGTGGGTTGTTCACAGTTCTTACTGGGGGCCAGTCAATTGTGTCAATCAATATATCTTTAAAGATCTAGAAGTGTCAAATAAAGAAGATTGTGCACATCTCTGCTTGTTAATTTAATTTGTTTGGAAGACCTGTAGTTGGGGAAATGTATAACACATATTCTACATCTTAGCATATTACATCTTGCACACAAGCATATTAATTGATTTAGGGTGAAATCCTTGGAACTTAGGATCAAATCCAATATACTGTATGTATTTTATAAATTCGGCCCCTGGAGATTCATCTGCTCTCAGGAATGAGTCCAACATCATCTAATATTATGTAGAACACCATATTAGAAATTTATCTTGTCTCTTTGCTTGTTTATGTTTGTTTCCAGTCACATTCACCATCATGAATCCCAAAACCAGGAAAGACTTCCAGCAATGTAAGTCACAGAAAACAAGCAGACACTGAGCGTGTCCATGTTCTTCCCGTAAGCTGAAAGAAAGCATGATTTACGAGTTTTATATTTGAAAATTATGATTTGTACAAGGATATCTGGTCAGCTGTACTGAGACACTACCGACACACTGAACATCGATGAGTTACAGATACATTCAAAGATCAGACAGATTCATAATTCCTGATTCTGATGTGTTTTCTCTCCATCAGATTTCCATCAGATCACTCTGGATCTGAACACAGTGAATAGAAAACTCAGTCTGTCTAAGAAGAACAGAGTGATTAAAAACACTGAAATACTGCAGCCGTATCCTGATCACCCAGACAGATTTGATCAGTTTTATCAAGTGTTGTGTAGAGAGAGTTTGTGTGGGCGCTGTTACTGGGAGATTGAGTGGAGTGGGAATGTTGGTGTGTCTATATCCGTGTCATATAAGGGCATCAGCATTAAGGCAGGTATCAAGTGTTGGTTTGGACATAGTGATCAGTCCTGGAGTTTGCACTGCTCTTGCTCCTTTTACTCATTCTGGCACAATAAGATACAGACTGTTCTCCCTGCAGTGCCCATCAGCCGTAGAATAGGAGTGTATGTGGATCACAGTGCAGGAACTCTGTCCTTCTACAGCGTCTCTGACACAATGAGCCTCATCCACACAGTCCAGACCACATTCACTCAGCCGCTCTATCCTGGGTTTAATGTTTATTCTGGATCATCAGTAAAACTGTTGCATCTGAATAGTAGAGAGATTTAATTACACTTTGAGCTGCTTGATAAATAAGATGTTGTAGAGTCTCTTATTTTCTCTTACATTATTATTACAGGTAACATTTAAGGCACACACATCTAAAACACATCTCTAAAATTGCATTTTACTATCTGAGAAACATTGCACGACTGAAATCTTTTCTCTCTTTTGCCGACACAGAAAGGCTTATACAACACGATCTCATAAAAGTGCGTATCTATACCACACATTTTATTTCTCGTGCCATTTATACGCCAAAAATGGTTTGGAGAGGTGTGGAGTGTGTGTGTATTACACTCGTATCATATGCACACAATTTTGTTTTTTTTAAATTGTGGTATAGATGCACTTTCATGAGATCGGGCTGGCTTATACAAGCCTTCATTATACAAGCCTTCAAATAGGCTAGATTTGAATGCCTTGTTCTCTGGACTTTCAGCAAAATCTCTAAGCGGGCTATTAACAGTACATTCAAAATTTCTCATGTGCTTACTCGTACTTCTCCTCGGGAACACATTACACGAGTGCTTTCAGTTGCACTGGCTTCCCATGAATGCAATAATTGATTTAAAAAATTCTAATTTTGGGGTAGGTTGTATTTGTAATTGTAGCTTGTAGGTAGACATTTATGGTACATTTATATAGTAAACTAAAGCTTTTTATACTTCTATGTCATGTATTTTTCATCATATATTTCATGTATTTTTATAATTACACATTTGTAATGATGTTTAAATTTAGTAACATCCTTAATGCTGCCTGAGTCATAATCATAATCATACACTTTTCGTCCATTGGTCAGAGGAGAACTGGCCCCCGACTGAGCCTGGGTTCTCCCAAGGTTTTTTTCTCCATTCTGCCACCTGAGTGAGTTTTGGTTTCTTGCCACCGTCACCCTTTGGATTTTGGCTTGCTTAGTTGGGGACATTTAATGTTCAACATTTTTATCGATCTGCCTGCATTGACACCATTATATGAGAACTGAACTGAGCTGGAAAATGACATCACTGTTTCTCCTGAGCGGCTATATAAATTAACTAAATTAATAACTTTTTTACAACAAAAATGAACCATCACTGAACTTACTTAAGCTGGACTATGACGCTATTTTCTTCTACATCTGCTGTACAGCCGAAACAAACTTTGTTGCATTATTTTCCTGTTATCACCGTAAAGCTGCTTTGAAACAATCTGTATTGTAAAAAGTGCTATATAAATAAAGGTGACTTGACTTGACTTGTACATTCAAAATATATTAACTTTAAATGTAGTTTACAGACACACACACACACACACACACACACAGTCTAGTCTTGTTTACGACTAGGATCCAGTCAATCTCTACATGAGAGTAGCCTATACTAACCTGAATCTCCCAACCTTCATCGTCCTTCTCCAGAGACTTGTTACATTGGACACCTTATCTTCATCGTGATTGCCGGCTACTGAAGGGAAACCGAGGCTTTCTAAAGCTTTGAGGCTTTCATCAAATTGTGCCAAAAAAACAAAACAAAAAAAACGGTTTATTACTCGAACCTTTTAACACAGTGCGCATTAGCGACAGCTGGTGGTCAGACGTGTTTTAACATCATATGCAGAGCAGAAGAAGCATGTGACCAAACAATAAAAAAACAGCTCTATCTTCTGATCTAATCTCATCTAAATTAATTTGTGCCAATGAGACCTCAACTCGTGCCATGTGGTCAACAAATTCACATATTGATCAATAATATAAAATATACAAGTATGTGATAATAATTAGTAGGCCTAATTGATGTGAGTAGTTGAAAAAATATTTTGGGTGTTCTGTATTTATTTTTTTTTTTTTTACAATTTATGTTATAGGGAAGTATATTGTTAAATAATTTATTTAATGTGTGTCGTAAGTATCACGTGCAGAACTTTCCACTCCCACCGGCGCTGTTTTGGAATTGTGCTCTCACGCTAATTTGCCCTGTTTAGTAAATCTGCCCCTGAAACTAAACAAGACAATGAAAGGAATATAACTGTGACAGGTGAGGAGTGAAGCTTGCGCTTAGGTTGTGGGTAGTGATGATAGTGATAGTCTGATATGGCTGTACACAGAAAGCATAATCTACATATGGAGAGGAGCAGCACTGTTATCAACTAATCTTACTTATTGTTGCAACTAATAGCAAACATGACACATGTTCAGTCTAAATGTAACTTTCTAGAGAATGTGAATATTATGAACAAGAAGTTACTTGTCTCTGCACTGATGCCTGCATAGCTACACAATGGCTCAATGATAAAAGCAACACACGATCTTAATGTTGACACCCACAGCCCACGAGCAGACATAACCACAATCAAGGGGGAGTTGAAGTTTAATTTGCTCTGACCAGTCTTATATTCCATTTGATCATATCCTGAACTAGTTATATATAATCTTTCATAGGCTACCTCAGTTTTTAGGGAGCATTCTGCTAATGTTTTATACAGTTGTTGACTTTTTTTACTGCTGTATGTAAAAAGTTAGTGCAGTGTTTCTCCACTGGTTTACTTCTCCACTAAGTGCAAATAGTCCCTCTTGTTGACAGAGGCGTACTAACTCTGCCCTCCATTGTGTCATTGAGTCAGACAAATTACAAATTATTGCGTGTAAAAATGTCTGCATGTTTGGCGGATCCAAGAACATGGTTGGGAACCCCTGGTGTAGAGAGTAATGTCAACTAATATCCCAATCAAGCAGCATCTATTTATGATTTTAATAAACATATTCATAAACACTGAATACGTTGCTATTATTATTGTTTTATGAGTATGAAAAGCATCTAACTACTATTTAGGCCTACCCTTAGTGCAAAGAAAATACTGCCATTTTCACTTTGCCTGAAATATGGTCTATTTTTCCATCACAACCCACTATTTTTTAGCTCAGAAGTTGCTGGAAGAAAAATATCATAAATTGAATGTAATTTTTTTTAGCAAAGCTGTCATGTCTGTATTTCCTGATTCGAAAACACAAGGGTTTGATGGTTTGAGCTTTTCGAAATCACGCGAAACTGAGTAATTAAAGGGGTTCAAGTAAAATCAGTTTATAGTGTTTTGTTTCAGGCAGAAAGTGCTCCACACATCTTCACTTGATAAATGTTTAAACCACCTGTCTATATGTATGCAAAGTTTATGTGTGTTTCGTTCATCAACTCACCAAACTAGTGGAACACTTCATTTGCACGAAACCACACTATGTTAACCACACAGAAACAGAGCAGAAGTCACCCGTTTTAATATGTAAGAACCAAATTATTCAGAACAATTAATATGCATGCAAAAAATATATAAATAAGATAAAAAATACATATTTATTAAGCGTTGTTCATGTGATTTCCACTCTAGCTCTATGCCAAATTTCTTTAACATACAAATACACATACATAAAGTAGCTCAAATTTTCATTTGTGAAAAGTTGCTCTAACACACAGAAACCACATTGCCCTCTGGTTTACTGCAAGCGTGAACATCTCAGAGCACTGGCAAGAAGAAAAAATGATAAAAAGGTCTATAGAGACAATTATATCAGCGAATAGCACTGTATTAATATATACAACACGGTATATATTTACACTAAACACCAGAAAAAAAAAACCCAAATTTTGTTCACTAATGGGATCTTGCTTTTCATTGACATTGATTTGAGAAGCATTACAAGTATAACAGAAACAACAAATTTTAGTTTTGTAAAGAAATTCAGATGCAATTTAGATTTATAATGGATAATACTTCATACAGCTTTTATACGGGCTGAAGAAAAGAGTAGGTGGTCTGATCCTGGCAAGGCCGGTTTCGTCTCGAGCACTTGGCGAAATCAATTTCAGCATACTAGAAGAGGAAGATCATTATTTGCCATTACAGTGTGTAAGACATAATGTACATGCAGTCAGCGATAGGAAAATAACCCCTAACAAGGTGTACCAACCCCTAACAGGACCCCGAAATGAAGCATAAGGGTCTTGCTTGTATCATGGACACGAGGAAGGACACGAGGAAAATGATGAAGGATGATGTGAGAGACATAAATCTAGCACAATGATCAAATCTAAGGTTTAGCACTAATTATAAGTAAGATATTTGACCAGAATGCTGCAACTAACCAATCAGAATTGAGTATCCTAGACAGCATTTGTACTGTTTTTTTGTACTATAAAACACATTTCATATAATTAATTGAATGTACACTATCTGAAGTTGAAAGGATTTAAGAAGATTAACCACTACTTAAAATATAACTATCATATCAATACTGTATACTAACCTTAGAGCATAGTGCAAAAATAATGTGGGCAGGTTATATTTATACTAATGTATTAAAAATAATTAAGATAATTTATTTCAGAGGTATCTTACCTGTGGATCATTTGTGTTTTGAGCTGCAGTATTTTGAGGTTTCTTTGAAGTGTTTTTAGATCTTCTAGTTGCGTCAATGCAGCTCTTCACCAAACCTGAAACAACAGTGAATAAACATCTCTGAGACACTTCTTGACAGTTTAGACTAAGAGCAGATATGATATGGATGAATTTGTGTATTGATTAAGAGTTTGTCTCCATGTAGTTAATTAAATTAAATTTTACAAACCTATCACGGCAATGGTCAGAAGAACATTTATCAGGATGAATATGATGGTCATATTTCTCCATGATATCTGGTGTTGTGGAGCGTCATCTGTCTGATTCCTGTGGACCGAGTCTGTAAAATTATTATGGACAAAATCTGTAAAAGGTTTGTAGTTCAATCTTTCAATTTCAGTCTTTAACAGAACAATAAAACTATTATAAGATCTTCATACAGTATATTCAAGGAATCCATGTGGTTTATAAAGACATGAAATGATAAAATAACTCACCGCTGATGTAGATTTTGGTGCCGTTGTTGAATTTTAGAGGTTCACTAGTTTTCACACAATAATAAACTCCTAATTCATCAATGGTGATATTCTTGATGAACAGACGACTGTTAGTTTTCACTGAGTATTTGTGTTCAGAGATGCTGTTTTCATATTTACCTCCTTCATATCTGCTGCTGAAAGTGCGTAAGAAAAACACTGGAGGATCCGGAAATTTCTGTTTGTACCAGTAAATCTCCTTTATATCAAGATCACAGGTTATATTCACATCAGATCCTAAAGATACTGGTGTGTTTGTTAGACTCTCTGTGGCTTGATACAACATGAACAGATCTATGACAGAAAGAAATACACATTTATTAAGATATAAAAGAAAACTGACTCAATCAAATGTGACATGAGAAACTCACAGATCTGCAGCTGTATGATCTTCATGATCTGATCCAGATGAATAATATCTGCTATAGTGATCATTCACACATCTCGTACTGTGAGCAGAAACACAAACCTCGACCACACAGACGAGAGGGGAAGTCAGAGCTGAACTCATGATAATTCATACATTTTTGTTAAAACAACAGCATATGTTGAAGTAATAGTTACGTGTATGTATGTCTGTCAGAGCAACAAATCTTATTTCAGATTAATATTAGATGGTAAACTGAGTGCACAATATTTTTCAGGTATTATTCATGTGTGTGTTGTAATTTACATAACTGAAAATACACATTTTTCATTTGGTAACTTTAATTTATTTTAAAATAAACTAGAGATGCAACTTTCACCAGGATATATTAATTAAACAATACTTTTCACAATTCTAAGAATTACTGTACATGCCATTCTTACTTTGTGAATACGAAATAAGGATACACAGTATGTGAGTAGTTTATATGGTGAACCCCCCCCCCCCCCCCCCCCCCTTAAATCAAATTTGGGATTTAATGGCATGCATCAGAAGGCTACACACTCATATTTTGACATATTTTCACTTGCATGTGATGCTGTGAAGCCCATTCATGCATGTGGGTTGTAATCCAGAAAAGGGTGAGTTATTTCTCACAACAACACTAAGCTAATTAGTATGAAAATCAACCACTAAATATATATATTTTTTTTATATATAAAACAGAAAATAGCAGTGAGAGACGGGAGTTGGATTGAACCGCTCATGCGTGTCCTGAGCAATCCACTGTACAATCCACTACACCCAACTCTGACTATGGAAAATTATGATAAAAAGAACCAACACTTCTGATTAATTACCTCAGAAGGGTGCACAATCACATTATTTATCAGGCTTAATTTATCTAACCTCTATTATTGCAAACCAGAAAAAAAAATCTGCATACTTTTGAAAACTGTAAATATACATTTATTCATTTAACAGACATTTTTATTCAATCAAGCTTGCAAATGAAGGACATAGCCAGCAAGTTAAAATAGCAATACTTATACTACTGTGTATATTTATGCCGCTGTTCTTTTTATAGTTAATCAGGCTGTAACAAAAACAAACATACCAGAAAATAATGTAGAAAAAATTAAACCTGGACGGCTATCAACATAGTAACAACACATCATGAGTTGTGCTATGCGCACCTTAACTTATCTGTCAGATTCTTACAGCTATATCTGACTTAAGTGTGAAAATAATATTATACTGATGATCTGAAAACATTAACAGAAATTCAAAAAGTGTATAGCTAGCAAATACTGTATGTTAAGTTCCTTCTAACTACGTTAACTGCCCATGTGTGCACTCTCAGTGCAGTGTGCTTCATTTCCCCATGTTACAGACCCTTACCAATAAAGGCAAGAATGACCTGTTCTGCTAACAGTATCCATAATGGGTTTGAACTTCAAATAAATAAAAATAAAGTAATATCAAACATCTATATGCAATAATCATTTTGGCGCCAGTTTCATACAGCAGTCAGAACATTTGGGGTCCAGGTTCAAACGATTGTAACTATACATTAAAGAAAGGCACTACAGCAATACAGCAGTCTAGCAAATTACTCCGATATAGTGCAAAATACAAATCTCCAAATCAGCAACAGGAAAGTTGCAACCCCTTCTGGCTGTGCTCTCATGGAAGAGCTTCTTGCATTCACTGTTGATTTTGGAGTAGACACTGTAGTTGGCATTGCTGTTAGACAAAAAAAGTCACAAATATGAAAACATTACTATTTAGACAGTAATTGTCTAAAAATGCAACAAAGGTATACAATGCACATAATGGACGATAATTAATGACAAAATAATTGCTAAAGCTAAAAATATATTTGATGAGGCATTGCACATCCTTTTATCAAATGACTCAAACTGCCTATGTGAGTAATAACTGTTTCCACATACCTCTGACTAGCAGCGTTAGTTTGTGTTCCTTTTTCACATTTAGGATAAAGCAGGAGAACTGTCCTTCATCAGTGAGTCTCAGATCGGAGAGTCTGAGAGAGAAGTTTCCATCCGCATGCTCTGAGGGAAAACCTTCTATTCGACCTTTAAACATTGCATCCTGATTTTCTGTTAAGGGACTGCCATTTTCAATATCATAAACTATAGTTTTTTGTTTGTATCTCCAAAACACATTAATCTCCTCTGTCTTTAGCTTTCTTTCTTTGTATGAACATGGCAAGATGACAGAGCCTCCAACAACACCACTGACTGGAACAGGGTCCTGCAGAGACACTGGAGACAAGAGTAACAACTTTAATAAGCAAACCATAAACAAACGGCACAGAATGTGAAGTTACATGAAAAAACACAATGTAAACTGAGGTCTGTGAACACTAACCTTTGTCTATCAGATGTAGAAATAAATACATGAACCAGTATCTGCGGAAAAAAAGAAACAAAAGAAATGTTATTATTCGTCTATGACATGCTTATTAGGTAATGGTTCTTGTCTACTCAAAGCAACATTTTTGTTTCAGATAAACTAGTTTTATTCACTTTAGCACTGGACATCATGCCAAGAGGAGAGCATGACATCAGAGACATGTCATATGTGTGGACGGTTAGTAAGAGATATATTTTAATTGAATAACAATGGATTAAATCAGCACGAAATTAAAGTTGCGGTGATATTTTACATATATCCAAGTTAAATGGCTTCGCGAAAAAAAAGAAGAAACATTTTTTTTAGGGTGGGATTTTGTCTATGTGGAATTGATTGGATGGTTGTGGTTTGCTATTGGTGGATCTCATGTGAGTGACAGGTTGCTCCGCCCTCAGGTCAGTACTGTAAAGACTCTGCTTGGGTCTGATCAATGGGGAATTTGCATGTCATAATTAATAATTAATAACTAATAATTATTCATACAGATTTGGATCAGCCCAGTCTTACATGTTAATAAATCTCCCATTAAGGGAGGCTTTGTCATTTTACCTGCACAGGTGTATCCCCACAATTAATCACAAATGAATTGTAACTGATTATACAGACCACGTTTTACAAGACAGGTAAAATTAATTAGCTCAATTAATTTATAGAGTTGTGAAAACAAATTCTGTGGCCACAAGAATTAGCTTTCTTACTCTATAAAGTTTACACATACCCGTCTGAGGTATTTCTGTAAAGAGCACGTAACGTTATCGAAAGCATATCAGTGACTTGGGTTATGAGCAACAGGCAATGAGTCAATCAAAAGGATATAATGTATTTAATGAAGCTGAACTACTTAAGCATTTACTACAATGATACATGTATTTACAAACATTAAACACAAACTAAGACGACGCAGGGCGTTTAGACAATGGATACCCATGTGAACATGAGTTGGAGAGAGAGAGAGAAAGGGGGAAAGTTGGTGAGAGAGAGAGACAGAGCTTTAGCATCTCGACATCAACCCTTCTGAAACAACACGAAAACACCATTGTAAGGCTTCTTAGAAGCTGTAACGGGAATGATACTTGCAAGGAATATGAGTTCTGTGTATGTCGCGGGCTCCTTGCGCGGTCCGGTCGGCCCGCATGTTGAACGAAGGTCCTGTCCTGCTTGCGCGCGTCGTGTGGAGCGCGGCTGCAGCGTTTTTGCACGGCCCGTCCCGGCGCGTGCATGGTTGGCCGCTTGCGCGTGGCGCCTTTGCTCCATGGGGGATCACGTGGCGTTCGTTGGCATTCGGCGCGAGTGTTTGAAAGGCTTAAAGTCTTTGAGGTGACGTTACCCGAGGAAATAGTTCGGCAAAGTCCATTTCCTTTCCTGGGAGACGAACTCGGGAGTAAGTTAAAGAAGAGACGAACTTTAGACGAACAAAAGAAAAGATCCATGGTGGGATCAGATCTCCATGAGGAGATCGCTTGCATCACATGTTTCTCTGAGACGGTCAGACTGCAAGAGAGCGAGTGGGCGGAGCCGCGCTCCTACATTTATCACCTCGGAGGAATCCAGCCTCTTCCTGTTGGCTTGGCCAATTAGAGGGTTGGAAGTTTACAGGCGGGACTTTGGGTTTTATTGTCCTTTGTTCGGAAGAACGTGCCCCTGGTGGTAGAGGGGTGTGTTCAAGGAGGGTGTATAGTTTAACAGTTTGAATCTTCAATGGCGGTAAAACCTATTAAAAATACACTTTACTTTATATCTCTTTGCATATTCAGATCGCCCGTTCCATGAGCATTTTAGAGGTGTCAAACACATCATATGAAAGTCAAAGGAAAAATACAGAGGTATTTAATATGCATAAAGAAGGTATTTCTAATGTCTATTTATGGCGTGGCCAAACAAAGATATTCCACTGTGACATGGGGAAAAACACATACATTTAACAAAATATATTCAATGGTTTTTATGTCTTTACCCAACAGAAATGTCCGTCTCTTTGTTCAGAGACATTCCGATGGGTTATAACTTGTAACAGGAGCTTCACTCGTGTGTTGGGGGAGGGAAGGGCTCGTGTGTGTGTGTGTGTGTGTTACATTCAGTCTTTTTGGGTCTTTGACAGGATGCATTTAGTTATTCAGATTCACCCTGGCCCAGTCCTTACAGTCCCCCTTTTTGTCTGATGAAGTCCCTGTGTGGACTTAATCGGACAACAATCATCACAATGGACGGATGGCAGGTGAATCATGACTCATGCAGCAGGTGGTTATTAGGGCTGAGGATTCAGCTCTATGAGGTTCGAAGCTGCCTCTGGCCTGGTCTCTGACTTGGCACCCCCTTTTTGCGGGTTTCGTCCGAAACCTTTCGTGAGCTTGGCTGAAGATGTTTGTATCTCGTTGAGTCTCCTGTATAGGATGAAGGTCAAGCCCAGTGTCAGGGTGTGTCTGACTACCATAGAGGTACACCGTGCAGTGTCGGCTGCGGTCCAGGCTTGGATAACAGGTGAGGTCGTCAGAATGGGTAGTAGAGACAAAGCTTGGAGAGCTGTGTCGATAGGAGCAATGTCAATTAGCTGGGATCACCCCCCTTTCGCAAACCACAACTCCCGTTCTGGAGTTAGGGTGAAAGTGTGGTACCTGGAGAAGGATGGGATTTCCAGTTTTAATTTGTACTCTTTGCATGGAAGATGGTACCATGCCAGGTCGCCAAGGTGAGGGATGGCCCTTTCCGGTGCTTGGATTCACAGGCTCTAGTGGAGCAAGGTGACACAGGTGTCGGTGTCATTCTGGTCGTAAGTGAGTGCAGCTGTGCGCACAGGAGTGTTAGCGAGCCGCCTGTCACTTACACTCTCTGCTTGGGTCTTGATGCCTTGAGTGCGTAGCTTGGCTTCGGCAGGGCAGCGGTTGTCGCTGATCTGCAGCCCGCAGATTCCGTCAGTGTTGTCTCTGAGGAGAGGCTTGTTAGGGCAGAGATAGTGAATTTCTTTGGTCAATGTGCACACGTACGGGTTCGGAGCTTAGGACGGCTTTGTGTTGCCGTCGTTGCAGTCAACCCCGTCCGGCGTGTGGATCTTGATGTGAATGTTACTTTTCAAAATCTGACCTTGACAATGTTCTTGAGCCGGTAGATTCGGCTTGACTCTATAATGGGCAAGTTCAAGAGAAAACCCCCCAACTTCTCTGCTTGTAGTCGGCGCAGAGAGGGATGGCACTACCCAGAGAGTAGGAAAGGTGTATTTGTACTCGTGGCGTGGTGATGGCGGACGCCAGTACGGTTTTCACGAGGCTTAAGGGTATCAGGTGCGGTGGAATTCTACCCCTGGCGAGGCTGTCGATGGAGGAGTTCACCCCCTGCAGCAGGTTTGTCATCAGGGCTGTTACCAGCGGAGTTTGAGCACAGTCATTCACAGTTCCCTTTAGTGTCTTGTCGATGGTCTGCAGGGATGCACTCTGTTGTGAGTGCTCGTGACAGTCATTTTCTCAAGTTGCTTGAGCATGTGTTCAACCACGGTCTCAGCGTGAGTGCGGGAGTCCTTTGTCCATCGGCACCTACCCAGCTGTATTGTGTTGTTACGCTGGGGTAGTGTGTTCTGTAGGCGTTGTAAGGATCAGGTGGCACATTCACTTTCTGAGTGCGGGTCCGGCAGAAAAGGAGTCCTGGTGCCAGACCTGGTGAGATGTCCGAGTGCGGTTGCCCTCTGGTTGGCTGGAGGCACAGCAGCATCCTGGTAAAAGTGAAAGGGAGAGAGAAAGAGAGAAAGGGAGGAAAAAGTGTCTTGCAAGTGTCTCTGGTGCTGCGGCGTGCAGCGGCATACATTGGCATTACCCCCCTTTTGCACTGTGGCATCACAAGCTGTGGCGCGGTGATGGCATCAGGTGCAGAACGCTGAATGTTGTTTAGTGCACGCAGCATGTGCTTGTCGACGCAGGTTGGCTGAAGGCACCGGTTGTCGGTGGGTGCAGACGGCGGTCGTGGGTGGTTGGAGGGGTAGAGAGGTGGTTGTCTCAAAGTTCATTTGGTTAGTCACAGTCTTTGGTGAGCTGAAAGGTGCAGGGTAGCAAGTTCACATCTCCATTTGGTGCTGAGGCTGTGCCTTTATGGCTGGCTGAGGGAGTTCTTGTGACCTCTGTGACCTGCCAGTTAGGTTCTCTTGACCTGTGTGACTGGAGGGGGAGGGGTTTTTGAACTTGAGCTCAGACATTCAGTTGTTTAGGGTCTATTAAAGGCTCAAAGCGATTTAACAGAACTTGGCCAATCAGAAGTGGGTACGTGATCGGTACACTGGGTGAACGGAAGCTACCTGTTTTGAGCCAAATGTTGTTTTGGCTGTAGGATTGCACGTTCAGCTCACATGTTTGGGACTTGAGAGTTCGTTTTGATGCTCAGCTGTAGCACTGAGTCTTTCAGAGAGTTGGGCTGACATTAGCGTGGTGTTCGAGCTAGTGTCTAGCAGGCCTTCAAGGCTCAAATCAATGTCTCTGGTGGTGGTTAGGTAGAGTTTTCGTGCCACCCCCTTGATTAGGCTTTACAGAAGTCTTGGCGTCTGGGCTGGTGTCGTGACTGATGAGCGGTTAGGCAGGGGCTCTGTGGCATTCTGGCACACTTGTTGTGAGTGATTAATGCGTGGCCCTAAAAGTTCAGAACTACTGCTTAATAGGTAAGTTAAGCATTTAGCATAAAGCTAAGTGTCTCTTGTGTCCTTATCTTAGCTGTGACTGTTAGGCTAAGTTTTGTGTGGTTCCGATGGTCTTTCCTGGAAAGGACATAGCCGAGATGAAATAAATGACGTAAGGTGGATCTTATGACTAAATTATTTCTCTGGACTTAGAGATGGTTCGACGAAGTGAACGATAATAGGGAAAAGGACAGCTTTCTTATTTAAATTCTGCTTATTGTCAATCCTCAGGACTCTAGTAGTGGTGTTGAAGGGTCACAAAACGAGTGCACTGGTTGAAATTAAGCCAAAATAACAAATAAGGGGGTCTGTTTCCTTTCTAGGCCCTATAGGAGATGGAACCAC